ACTTCCAGATGTTTTTTTCTTGCATTTATTTCTTTGTTAGAATAAGAAAAGTGTGGAGGGCAATTAGTTGCCACAGTAAAGGACTGTCGTCAAACACAGTGAGACTCATTTAAATCAAAACAGTTTATATACCAAAAGAGCACTCACTTTTTTTTTTATCTGTGCCTACATTAGTTTCCCAATCTTACAGAGTAAACTACATTCCTGCAAATAAAGTGGAGGATTCTACAGGCAGGAAGGTCCTAAGTGTGTTTTTCACTTCCCAGGAACATAAAGGGTAAACATTTATGAATTCATTGTTTGGTATCCCTACATTCTGGGGGCTAGCTGTGGTTCTTGGCTCAACAAACATGCCTAATTTTGGCCAACTAATTTTGAGAGCTCATCCACCATAGAAGGCTAATCATCAGGATCAGTAAAATACACAGAAGAAGAGTTGTTGGTACTGTGCTTATTTGAAATTCAGTTATAAACCCTCTCTATTACAACTTCACTGTCTAATTYTAAAGAGAGGAATGCCCAAAGATGCACATGGAGGTACACGGCAGAGTTATCCACACTGTGAGAACAAGAGGTGACAAGTTAGGATGGATGTTTAATCAGCATTTTGGCAGGAGAAACAGGCTAATTTTCCAACAGGAACATTCTAAGCCTTCTAAAAACGCARGTATGCACCTGGAAACACCTGAAATACCCTAGCCTTTCATGACTGATTCTAGGCCAAGGAAATCCGGACTGGAACTAGTTTATCCAGGCCTGAGSTCCGAAATCATTCAAGTGGTACCTTCACTACTCCTTTACAATAGTTTGATATTATCACCCATCTTTGAGCCAAACCTACAAGTGGCCCAGAAAAATGCGCTGASAGTCCAACTCTGATCCTCACCAGAAAAATAGTTTAGCTTTGCCTTTAAATGTAACATGACAAAACGTGCAGAACAGAAGACAGGATGCCAAGTTTCAGCTGATGTATCTGCTCAGTTTCTGCCTGTTCCCTGATTGCTCATTTAAAGGGAACACATGGTGGTGGTGAAAGGCAAAGTGTCATTGAGCTGCAAGCCAAACCAGACATGATTTTATGGCTATGTGCAGTATACACATCAGTCCTTTCTTAGTTCCAATGCAAAGGAAAGGCATGGTTTAGAGAAAGGTCTTTATGTTCCTTATTACTTTTGAAAAATTTCAAAAGCAGCCTTGTTAAAAGAAAAAGGGGCTCAGCTATGAAATCACTTCCTTCTGTTTAAACTATTTTACTCGAGGAAAAACACAACAAGAGGGCATGAAAAAAAAAAATCTGTTCTCTGTTTTTGACTTTTTCCTCGGATTCAGCATCCCACCCGCTCTGTGGGATGACGCGGCGTGCCAGATCCCGACTGCTCCAGTCAGTGCGTCAGGCAGCCGTGGCCCTCCCCACACAATCACCCTCTTGTCAGAGGCAGCTGGCACCCTCCCCACACATGCTGACAGCATCCCTGCCTGGAGGACTGCACCCCTTTGGGGCAGCTCTTCTCCTCTTGGAGCAAGGCAGCAAGGCACGAGGAGGGCAGGCCGTGTKAGGCAGCTAACAAACAAGAAGCTCTTGTGTTATTCCCTCCCCCTCCTGCCCCCAAAACACAGMGAGAATGCGGACAGGGGAAGAGATGTTCTTCTGCTTGCAGCAGCAGCATGGCTTTGCCTGGGACTACAGCCAGCACGACAAGTCCAGGACACCCGTTTATGGAAGTTTAAAAGTCAAATGAACAGTTCATTGCTGCCCAATTCACAATGGGGTTACTTACGGCTGAGCAGCGTTTTAACAAAGATTCTAAGATGAGGAATGGCTTGYCTCACTCTTGCCAAGGTTCACAGGTTTACCCAGATTCCCAGTTCTGTTTTCCCTTGGATCCCAGGGCACACTCCCTCTTGTCTAAAATGAATTCTCTTCTCCTGTGTAAAGTGGGCTGACAGAAACCAGCTCCCTTCTCCACTCAGCTGCGGGGTAGGACATGAGGGAGAGGGATCTTCAGAATAAACTGCTTTCTGTCCCATCTTCACCTCCTGCAAAAAGTTAGTGTCTGCCTCAAACCAATGTCTTGAGTAATGCATTATTACTCCGATCTGCACCATTAAGAAAGGCAGGGGCTCTGTTCCTCCATGTTGTTGAGGTTCACRGATGTAGAAAAAGCCAGATCACATGAGATAAATATTCAGAATTGCTCCATGCAGCCTAAGACACCTTTTCTGCCCTTCCCAAAGTTCCATTAGATAAACTTGCAGCACTACCTTTTCAAGAAAACACTCAGGAAGATGATCCTYGAAATTAAATCTTCTGCTTATGAAAATTTCCAGCTTACAAGGAAGCTCCAAACAGTGAGAGAGCATCATCACACCTGCCTCATCAACAGGCTGATCACAGCGCTTGATTAGAGATATCTGGTGATATCTGATATCTGGTGCCCRGAGGTGCTTTGAAGTGATGCTTAGTTTTTCTTCAGAACCACAAAACAATMCTCCACCGAAGTGCAAATTCAGCAATAAGGGATGACACTCTCCTGCTGATGGCAACTAATGATCTTTCCTCATGGTGYACTGAGCAGTCTGGAAATACCCTGATGCACAAACATTTAACTGTCCAAAAGTCTCCATGGTTAACCCAAAGTCTAATTCTTGGCTTCAGTCTGTTTTTTATTTATGYATTTATTAAATTAAAAGAATTTACATAACAAAACCATAGCTCTTTTCCAGCCACATTTAGCTTGTAACTGTGTTTCACAGGGGTAAAAAGGTGAAAACATTGCTGCATCTTTACACGACAGCCCCATGACTGAGCTCCTCTAGCCTTCCTCTAGAAACCACACTGTKTAGGAAAAAACCCAAGCTGAACCAAAACCCAAACCCTTTGTAAAATGATGACATGGTGGGAACTGCAAAAAGAATGAAGAGTTCACAACCCACAGGTTCCTTCAGATTTAGTAAGATAATAAGTAATTGCTTTCTGTAAATGGTATTTTATGCAGATTAGATGTGCTAAAGTACAGTGTGTGCAAAACACTGAATGAAGTAACAAGAAATAAGGTCCTGTTTGAATTTTGAAGAAAGCTTCAACATGTGCTACCTGCAGTCCTGAAAATTCTCACCTTAATGAGGAAACAGAGATATTACTGAAATACATCTGCAGCTAAACTGAAGTCACCTTCATTTTAGCTAATGCCCCTTAACTCCTGGAGTTGTTTCACTCTTTCTAGAACAACACCTGAAAAAACACACTTATTAGGGAATGAAGAACCTTTCCTCTGACCTCTTCTCATGGGAGAAAGAATAGTGCAGTCACCTCCTACCCTTTCTGCTGAATATGTACCTCTAGTCCCATCCATGCTTGGGATCAGCTGACATTTGCTATTTATTCAATGACTGCCTATTGCTGCAACTCCACATTGCATTGGTGTAAGTGCTCACTATTTTCACCCATTTTTTTTTGGTTGTTGTTGTTGTTGTAGGTTTTTGCTTTTGGTTTTTTTTTTAAGTCTGAGCCAGTCTTCCACCTCATACAAAATACCACTGCTGTATGAGCAGTAATTCTTCAGGAGTGAAAACAGGGAAATGTTTCCTAAAAGAGGACTGCAAAACCTGAATTTTCTTTGTATTTTTAATCATCTTGCCTTCTGCCATGAGACTTATGGAGATGGGAAGGGACTGATCTCTGAACCACCAAAAAATCTGTGGAGGTTTTACCAACTGCTACAGTCCCCCTTGCAAAATTTACAGAGATTTTTTTGCTGAAGAGAAGAAAAGGACATGGAAGAACAAGTCTTATGAATGGTTTAACAGGTTGGTTACACAACTAATGTTCTGGTTAAAAAGCTAATTACTAGGTCAGAGTAAATGCAAATTCTTAAACTAAAAAGTGATCTGACACAGTGACTCACACCAAATCTCTGCAACTGTTCTGCCACATTTGTGATCGAAGGCACAAGTCACAGCATAAACCTGTGGGAATCATGATGGCATGGAGAGAAATGGGGCTCAGTTTTTGGTTTTGTGGACTGCATACCAATTGCATGTATGGACTCTTAGGGCAATCACCTGATGCAATGGGTACTGTGAAACCTAGAGACCCCTGTATTGTACAGGAAGACCTAATAGGTGAGAACATGTGTTGGGACAAAGAGACAACCTGCACCATTCSTTGCTGCCCTCAGCTCAGTCATCTGCAGCAACAAAGAACAGAACAAACAGCAAAGAAGATCACCAGGGAATGGTACTCAGCATTCAGRCTGTGCTTCTGCATAAGGAAACTGGGAGCCCTGGACAAAATCCAAGTAAAGCTACTTGCAAAAAGATAAGAACATCCTGAATCCAAAGTGTGTTATGGTATTTCTCTTATACTTTTCTACTTTCCAAGCTCTGAAGCTTAGGCAYATCCTGAGCAGTGAGTTGAAGCACACCAGAATCTCACGCGCTAATTTCCTGTATTAGCAAATGGTCAGGTACTGGTATGTACCAAACACTTGGGATTGAGTACATGCAGCCCTGATCAGCACACAATCTTTTCATCAACAGCCTGTAGCCCTTCATTGTTCTCCATATATTGGAATTATGCATGAATACAAACACCTTTGAGTGGCAAAAAGGAGACAAAAATGGAATACTAAGCCTTCTGTGTACAGTTTCAAGTTTGAAGCCATTTGGCATCTTTAAAGGCAAAAGGGCGAACACTGCATATAATAGGTGGATACAAAGGTTTTAAACATGCATTGCTGCAAAAAACCACCACACTACATCTGGGTTTTTACCAGTTTCATGTTACAGGGCTGAGTGACTGAATTCGTCACATCAGCTTCCATAAATAAGCTTGATATCCCCTAGTGGTCACAGTAGTGAATTCTGGGGGTTCTTATTGTCTGCACGTCTTCTAATAGTTTCCAAATGCTGCCGATCCCCCAGGAGTTGACCATACATTACTGAAATCACCTGGTAAGAAACAGAGCAGGGAGAACAGGGTGGGCAAAGTAAGCACTTACCAAGCACAATGACCACAGTCTTCAGGAGGCTCATCATGGTGTCCCGATTCCTGCGGGGTCCAGAGCTGTGCCTGGACATCCTCATAGTCCTTTGGCGAACGTACCCAAAGATGTGAGCATATAGGACCACCATGACCACGAAAGTGACCAGGTTGAAAATAGCCCAGAAGACCAGATAGGAGTCACTATAGAGCGGTGCCATGTTGGAGCAGTGAGTGATATCACAAATGCAGTTCCATCCGACGCTGGGTATGGCACCCATGACGATGGCCATAGTCCAGATGACAACAATGACGACGACCACGCGGCGGTTGCTCATCCGAGTGTGCAGCTGCATTCGGAAAACTGTAATGTGCCGCTCRATAGCGATGGCCAACAGGTTGGCCACGGAGGCTGTCAGGCTGGTATCAATGAGGCCCTGACGGAGGAGCCAGGTGCTTACAGTCAGTCTTCTAGTGTTGGGCCCTGTGTTGAACATTAAGTAAAAGTAGGCCAGCCCCGCAAAAAAGTCCGCAGCAGCTAAGTTGGCCATTAAGTAATAAATAGGAAAGTGGAATCGGCGGTTGACATAAATAGCCACCATAACCAAGAGGTTGGCCAGCATTATGAAGATGCAGACAGTAATCCCCAGTCCCATTACAAGCTTGCTGACAGTGTTCCATTCAGTGGCTAGATATTTTCCACTTCGGTTATAAAAGAAGGCAATGGTTTCATTGTAGTAGCACTGCGGTTCGCTCATGGCTGTGGACTGAAAGAGGAGGGGGAAAAAAAAGAGAGAGAGATAAAAAAAGAATGACATCAGAACTGAAAACACACAATTGCCTCTATGGATGAGACATGCACAAACAGTGGGGAGTGGGACAGGAAAGGAATACGCTTCAGAACAAATTTATATTTTCAGGCCAAATGGCATTCCACAACTCACAAACAATTGCTCTGAGGAATCTAGTAACAGCAACCAGATTAGAACCAACCAGAAATGGTTCCATCTGCTCAGGGAGCCAGCATGATTTCTGATGCAATTGTAAATTGTGTAGAAAATGAGCTTCTGGCCAAGCAGACCTGCTGAAAGATTCAGTTAAGGAAAGGCATGCAATTCATAATTAAGAAAAGTTAACTCTGCTACAGACACCTTATTTGTGTTATCAGTGCATAAAACTSTTGACTGTAGCGGAAGAACAGCTCTTCAAAGATGAGGAAATGCGCATTACATTTCCAAGCAGGTTTTCAGTAATTTAATTTTCCATCATGGGCTTTCCTTCTTGTCCTGTTTTAAAAAGTGAGAAGAATACCTAAATAAAGATTGTCAGTATTCTTTGAGACCTGAGCATGAAGTGTTTTTATGAACAATAGAGGAAGCATGCCATAGCATTTCTATGAGCATCAGTCACATTTCTAGAGAGGATTTAAAATAATGCTTTTAAATACAACTCACCAGAATTGATTTATTCCAATTTTTAATAGTGAGCCAAGAAATAAGAAAAGCAATATTTGGCTTACCTAGTGGTAAAAGAATCCAACTTATTTCCTGCATTAAATATCGTTATGGCTGTGTCAGAGAACACATGATTCATTTTCCTTGCAGAGTACTCTACTGAGAACAGCTAGGGATGCAACAAACAAGCTCAAACTCCACCAGAATGTGGAAGTTTTGGATAAAACTGTTGGCTCATAAGAAAACGCTTAATGAGTTTCCTCTCTCAGTTCCACTCAATTACTCAAGGTGCAATTCCCAAAAAGCAAACCTTAGGAGCAGAAACTCCTCTGAATAACACCCTGGTTCCTTGTTTAGCATAGGCAAACCACAAGGATGTAAAAATAACAATTTTTTAAAATAATCAAACTAAGAAACACATGACAAAAAACTCTCTTCCTACAAGACACTTGGGAGACCTGCCTTTGCTTCTATGCTTTTATTACTCTGTAACTCTATCAACTAAACCTGTATTTTTGCAAAAACAGGRCCAGTTTTAGCAAGTGCAAGTAATAAGCCCCATCAAAGAACAGATCAACAACACTAAAATATGAGAATTTCTTCCCATTAAAACATATAAACTAAACCATGTATTATTTTGGACAGCTCCAGTTACTCTGCAGGAAGTGCTACAACTAACTGAATCTTCTTGTTGAAACCAAAAATGTACAGAATTAGGAAAAACAACTAGAAATTCAACTCAAGTGAAAACAACATAGAATAGATAAAGACCTCCTTAGAATTACCCAAAGCTATCTCTGTTCTTTTTCATTTCTACATTTGTCAGTGCAATTAAGCCAATTCTAATAAAACAATACACTAAACTTCCCACATATATCCCAACGAACTACATTTAAATTTATGTTAAAGAAAAAGGTCTTTTCAGAAAGATTTTACCTCCAGCCTAAACATTGACCAGAAACATTTGCAGGCCCAGGTTAATAAAAAGTTAGAGTAAATAGTATTTCTCAGCACAGTGAGTATAATACTTTTATTGTTCCTCTAGGATACATCAACTCTTCTGTAGCCTTAGCCTTTTAGCCTTAATTATTTAAGAAATTTTAAAAGTTCTTGTGGAGGATCTCTCTGTTGCATATAAAAAAAGTTATTTATAAGGGACTTTTAACAAATGGAGACCTAACTACAAGACATCTGGCTTTAATTCTTTGGTTAATGACCTTGTAGTAATAACAGGTCAAGTATAAGAACCCTTGAGGGAGGGAGGAAGTCATAGGAATGAATTAGTGGCCCTTATAAAAGCTTGCCAACATCTGCATTAATTATGTAATGCACTGGGTTTTTAGTCTCTGTAGGAATATCTGGATGCAGGATCTAGTAGATATTTGTGATCTTGAATAAATTCTCGTTGCCTAAGCATCTGTTGATCTAGCTTTTTCTTTCAGATGTCTGCTGCCCATATGTAATGATTCCTGCTTCACTGCTGCTCCTGTGGAAAGAGGCCTCCTACACCTGGAAAAACATATATTTTTAATTCAGAAATTTAAAATGTGGTGATTATTTTACTTTTTTCTTCCTTCTTTTATTTCTTTGTGTTTTTGTTTTGCAATGGGCTCACAATGTGAATTATTCTTTGTGTAATATTCTCTCCTACCTATTAGTATGAAATCTGAAACAAAATATGCAAAAAAGCTTGACTTATTCACAAAATGCCAAGAAAGAGCTGAACATATGTACACAAATGAGAATATGTAAAATGTTACAAAGTCAGAATTGTTCAATTTAAAAGCATGACAGCATTTGAGCAATCTCAGAGAAGTTAGGATCAGGCTCACTTGCTGCTTCTCTCCTTTTGAAGACAGAAAATCAAAATGCTGTGTTTGTGTAAGAGATTTTGGAGAAGTTCTGTTTTTGAGGCATTCCAATCTAAAAGTAATCTCACCCAACCAAGGGAAAGAAGAGAAGAAGATGAGACAGTTTGCTGGCAAAAGTTCAAACAGGGGACTTCAGATGATCAGCTTTCTTAGATGCCAGTCTTAAAGGAAGGTTTTGACCTCCCGGGTCACAAACATAAAAATCCCAAGGCATCACATTTAGCTGTGATGCTGACTAGAAAGGCTCAAGCAAGAGAGAAATGCAATGCATCTCTCAGTACTGAAAGTGTTAACATACCACAAAGGCATATGCAAGCAGGCAGACCCCATCCCCTCTGCTGCCCCTGCAGGAAAAAGGGCAGGAAAGTTTATATTTTAATTTCCTGAAGTTTCACTCAGTGTGTTTCACTGCCTGTGTAAGCCAGATGTGTGGTGCCCGGAGATTTACCTCATCCATTCAGTATATCTCAACAGAAGTTTAAAATAAACTGAGCTGCAAATTGCCCATGCTAACTAAACCTCTAGGACACATCTGTGTAGAAGAAAACACTGAGTTATAAACCAACAAGACATGTAAAGAAAAATGGAGTAAAAGCAGGCTCAAAGCAAAATCTCCTCTCACCATATGAAATTGACTCAAGACACAGTTGCCCCTAATCAAAGAAAAAGAAAATCACAAGTACAAAGAATTAAATCTTTTAGTATCATGAGACATAGTTATAACCACAGCACAGCACACGGAGGAAATCTGGCAGAAGGACTTAATAAACAAAAGTCACTCTTCTTCAGCAATTAGTCATTCAATGGCCAGACCCTGACCTTGGCATTGGCCTTTTCAGGCACTATTTGTTGGGATGTCTCCTTTCCTCTGGTTTTATAGGATCATACCACAGGGTAGGCAGTGGGAACACTGGGAAGMAGAACCTGTATAAGCTTTCCCATATTTTGTGCTCGATTTATCCTGCTTCTGCCCCCCCTCTGAATCACAGCCGAAGAATARGGTGAGGATTTGGACCCACAGCAGCTTGACCATGCGATGTCCTTGCGTGTGAAGCCCAGTACTACTGCCCCTTCTGGGGAAGAGACTGGAGCAGAGAAGACACTGCCTGCCCACAGCAGGAAGGTGAGGGGGATTCTGAATCCTGCCAGCTCCATGGTGAGCTCACTTTGTGAGGTCTGTGCATCGAAAGATGCTCAGGGTGCAAAAGAAACACCAAAAGGTTTTCAAATATCACTGATGGATACTGCCTGAACAAAGCATTAATTAGACAAGGTGCCTGAGGGGAAAATTATCAGTTTACAGACCCCTCTGCAATCTCAAGAGTTTGGAGAGTTCTTCAATCCACCTAACAAAAAAAAAAAGGCAGGCCCCTCTCTCCCCACCCTCAGTATTCATGGGTGCATCTATTTCTTGCTGAGAGGGTGGAACATTCTTCAAATACTAAGGTATGACTTATACAGCACTTTTCAAACTTGCAAGCCACAAAAATGAGTTCATATCCTCAAACCTCTTGTACACACCTCAACCCTAAACTCCACAAACACAATCTGTTGCTCTCTTTTTTTGCCTTTGCTGAATTAACCTTGACATGCTGCTGTTTTCTTACCCAGAACACAGAGGAGATGAAAAGCAACTCAATTTTCTCGTATTGGTATGCTAAACTAAAACTAAGACTACAAAACTCAAATAACTGCCGTACGTCTTTACATTTAGTGCAGCACTGAATGGACATCAGTCCCACAGCTTTCAGCTTAGGTAAATACTCTTTAGTTTGCCCATACACCAGAAGGGGTCAAGCTGAAAAGCTTCAGGCAACTGCCAACTTCAAAATCCCCAAAGAAGTGTATAAATTAAGAATATCTTTAAAATAAGGATAAGCAAGTAAGTATAGGCATAATTGAATCAATATGTAAATACTTTGTCAACCCACAACTGCTAARCATGGGGTTTATGAAAGTAAAGTTGTAACAGATGAGAAAAAAAAAATCCAGTTTGCAAAAAAACATTTCTCAATGACCTAATGAAAAACACAGACTATTTTTTAAACTGCAGACCATGAAAGAAAAGGTTTAAAATAAAGAGGAAAAGAGGTGTTTCCTTTAAAAATAAAAATAAAAAAATCATGAAGTCACCAAATGAGGGTCCTGATTTATTACAGCCTTATGCACAGATATATTTTTCGACTGGACAGCTAGARTATGAAACCATACCACCAGCACAGAATGGCCCCTCCTCTTCAGAACTGCATCTCCCAAAGTTACCATTTAATGGACTTWAAGACAAACCTGTATAATAAGATGTTGTGGGCAAGTAACAGCGGGTTACTTYATTTCACTAGACTCACACTGCCTTTTACAAAGCTGACAAGACAGTAGGAAATTAATCTCACTGCAAGGGGATCCATTTTAATGCTGTTACATGCTGAAGCATAATGTCACTTA